CTCCGCGGCAGCGCGGCCGTTGTTGGCCATCTGTTCCCTGCTGACCTCTTTAGGGAGGGCTGAACAGAAAGAAAAGTACTGTCACTTCAGCCCTCACAGGGTCATCTGGCACTGCTCCCCCTTCCCCAGCAAGAATCAAAACTAATATTTCCTCTTGCATGTTGATGAAGCACTTAAAGGTTGGTTTGTTGTTGCTTTTTGCTCATATTTTTCTGGCTTTTCTCAGTTTGTCCCTGTGTGTTTGCACTGTTGGTTTTTTTTTTCCATATTTCCTTCTTATTTATTTGACCTAGTTTTGCATGCTGCTTTCTTTTTTGAGTTGAGTGGAGAGCTTGTAATTAGGGACCAGCTTGACTCTTTTTGATTAATGACTGAGCCTGGATATCAAGGGAACAAAGCTGGCACTTTACCAGTCACACCAGCTCCTTCCCTTCACCCATATTTACTCTGCAAAGGTCACAGAGCTGGACCGTGCAAAGATAAAGCAGGAAACAAAATTAGCAATAGGCAAATCCAGAATTTGAGTTTATCTGTTCCAGCACTTGTGAAAACAAGGATTGCAGATGCTCTGGTGACCTCTTGCTTTGTGTAGGATTCCTGCTGTACGTGTGGGTATCTGCATTGTTGTTTAAATTCCTGGTGACTTCCAAGAAACAGCAGCTGCCTCTTCATATGAGACAGTATTTCAGGTGTCCTGAGTGAATCAAAGCCTGCCTTTCCAGAGTTTGATGCTCTTATTTTGATGTTAATTTTTAATCCCATTTCATCACCACCCTTCAAGCTCTTTTCCACCCTCAAAATTTCAGCCACTTCTTTCTTACAATGAGATCCTGAAGAATCTCCTAAGTAGTCATTTTCTTCCTCTTTGTTTGAAACTGTATGATACAGATTTGGAGAACTTGTCTTTGAGAGCTCATGTCTGTGCTGTCCAAACCCTCTGTTATCTGTTATCACCTGTAACAATGCATGGATCTATTAATTCCTTCCATAAAACCTCCTCAGCCTGCATTTGGATGTTTATTTGCCAGTTCCTTACAATTCTAGTTATAAGATTTTCTTTTTTTCCAGTATTTTCCCTCCCATCATCACTGTTAGGGAAAATGCCTGTGTAGGAACACACAATGGCCTCTTGTATGGTGAGGAAAGTCAAAACCAGAGCAGTGCTTGAGCAGCTGTGTGCAAGGTGTAGGATTTCTGTCAGTAAGAGTGACTTCCACAACTGTCAGAGGAGTTTATTCCAGCATAAAGTAGGAATTAAGGTGCAAGAGGTATCTTGCAATTAAAGTATGGTGGCTAAACCAGACAAAGGCATCTGTAGGCAGGGATTAGGAATGCTGTGCTGAAAAGGCAGTTTTCCTGTGTTATTAAATAAACCTTCAGCATCTTGCTTATACAACAAAATGAATGAGGTTGTTGAGGTTAGGAGCAGTGTGACATGGAATGACAAGAGAGACAGGTCTGTGTTTAGCCCTCAATTACTGCAGGAACTGCTGAACTCTAAAACACTGTGTGGGCAATAATACAAAAAGACTCTACCTGAAGGTTGTTGAAGAACACTGTTCCCAAAAGGAATATTGCAAAATGCATCCAGAATGTCCCCTCAGTGCTGATCCACAATACCAGCTGTGCCTTAAGCTGTGGAAGCAGGAACACTCAAGTTCTTACATAGCTTAAAAAATAAATCAGCCTAGATTTGTTAATTTTTTAAAGGGATTAATAAACCTTTCAGCAGCAGGCAGTGACAGGCCAGAGCCACAGTGCTGGAGTTGTTGTGACCATGACCTGCAGCTCCTCTTGCTTTCCTGTTCTCAGAGAGCTCTCAAGCACATGCACTTTAAAGATAACCTTGGCTTAGGCTTGGATTTCATAAGCAATTTGCAACCTGTGAAAACACCACTTCATTCTGTAGTAAAACTCCTTGCTCATAAAAATCCCTCCCCATTCAGATCCATATGTAAGAACAAGGCAAACTCCTACAGGGATATTCTGAGACACTCCTGCTTTAGAACATGAGCTTTGTATTCATAAATGTTTTAGCCTGTTTCCTGCAATAAAGATTAAATTGTCGCTCAGGAAGTAAAGCCGCAACATGTGCCTTTGACAACGTAATCAAACTTTATATAGCCATGTTTTTATTGTTTTCCTTTTGTTTTGCTCTTAGATGACTAATTTCTGCCTAAAAGTGACAGCAAGAGTTGCCATCTGAGAGGCCGCTTAGAGTTTTATTTCTATTTTAAGCATATTTAAAGCACATGTATTCAGAAGTGTCATTATGTAAATCAGTTTTGAAAATTGAGCTCCATTAAAAATTGCAGTATCATTTTCTGAGCTAATCCAAGGCTATTTTAATCTCAGAAATGAAAAAATAACCCCACAACCAAACCTCAGGTTTCTGTGAGGAGTGGCACTTCTACCTCTGGTGTTGTAATTGCTGTGTTAATATGGTAATAAAATACGTTGTATTCTTAGTGGAGCAAAATATTTGCTGTTCTTGGATTTGGAAAATCCACTGGCCTGAAATTTGGAATATTTGGAAATTCCACTGCATTGCCTGGAAACAAAAATTGATAGTGGAGTCCAGTGTAAGGAACGATTTTGGCAGTGGTGAACGTGTCCAACCCTTTAAAGGCTTGGCTGGACCAAGAAAGGTTGGACCAGATAATCCTTAAGATCCCTTTCAACCTGGTATTATAGGAAAAGAACTTGATATTAAAAAAGAGGCCTAACAAGGAAGTTGGGTAATATGTACTCTTATAGCTTAAAGAAAACTCTGCATGTTAGGCAGAGTGGTGGTGGTGGTGGTTTGTTTTTGTGTGTGGTTTTTTGTTATTGTTTTTAAATACTGCCCTGAGTATTGAAGGGGATTTAAATGGAACTGTGGTGTTCTGGAATTGCAGTAATGGCATGGGGTTTCTTAAGTACCACAAGAGGAAACCAAAAAGTTTCTCATTTTACATGGACTTGTTTCATTCACCTGCTTTCAAAAACCAGAAAAAGCTGAACTTCCTCTGGCAATAGTGTGAGAGCTTGGGGGAGTTCACTGGAACAGGGCCTTTGTAGAGTCTGCTGTGACTTGGGTAGGGAGCGCTGCAAATGAAGGACTGGATGTTGTTTCTTTGTAGTTCCTGAGGTCCTGGGGACTTCTGTTCTCCACTGAGCTAACAGGGATAAAGGCAAAGCTATTGCAGTTTCAACTCAGTTTCTTTTGGCAACCAAAGTTATCACTTTTTGCAAAGTCCTAGAAGAAGGCATTTAAAAGTACAGTTTCATGCACCTTTGTCTTAAGTGTGATTTAATATTTTTTTTTTAGTGTAATGCAAATCCCCACCTGCAGTTCCTAAGGGCAGATGTTTCCCAAACCTCAGTTTACAGTACAGGGTTTAAAAGATGGCCCCTGGCAGAAGCTGAGCAGGTGGTGAATTTGTGGCCATGACAGAAGGTGAATCAGTGGTTAAAAACCAGACAATTAATGCCATTTCATCTGTCTGGACCTCCAGTGGTGCACCAAGAGCTCCCAGATGTGCCCAACCTCTGGCTGCTGTTCCAGACCCTGGGTCTTGCCCTATCTCTCACTTCTGTAAATAGTCTGAGTGCTGTAAAGTGCCTTAAAAAGGCACTACCACCTAAGTTTAGAGCTGTGAATTGCTTTCTGCAGTGTTTATAGTTTGGGGTGACACAAGGAAAGGGAATCTGCTTCTCATTTAGTCTGGAGCTCCATACAGGATCTGTGTAAGCATTAAAACATCTGCATGGCCAGGATCAGTATTTTCAGGCAAGTGGAAAAGCCAAATCCCAGAATGCTCTTCAGCACCAAAGTATTAAAAGTTACAATGTTCCCTTTTTTATAACAAAGGGAAACTATGTAGGAAAATGCAAACTTGTTAAGAGGCAAAATGTTTCATGGGGAATGTCTGAAGACACAATGTGCAAAATTGTGGTTGTTTTCTCCTTTAGGGAAAGAGCAGTCTGACAGATAGTGAGCAAAAATAAAGAGTTTTGTAACTAAAAAGCTTTTTTAAACAACAACAAAGATCCAAACAAAGAAAAGGGAGGGGGGCTGCAGGCTTTGGCAAGTAAAATGTAAAGCAATAGTAAATTAGGCTAAAAGTGGTCTTGAGGAGTAATTGGAAGGCTTTGAATCTAATAATAGTGATGGTAATGGCTTCAGCCCATCAGAAACAGCCTTCTCAGAAGATCTGTAAGGCTGATAAATGATCGGGACCTGAAGAGCTGTCAAGGAAGATAAAGCAGTTATAGAGAAGTAAATGAATTATTTGCATTGGTATTTATTGGAAAGGATGTTGGGAGGGTCATTGCTATAACCATTTATTTCAGTGATGGACATAGGAAGCAGAGAGAAGAAGGTTTCAGATAGGTTTTCTTCTTGATTTGGAAGGATTCAGGTTAATTTTTAATCAAGATGATACTAGAACAGTCTTATTTTGAATTAATGCAAATTTTTCAGCTAGAATTTATAGGATGAGCACAAAATATGATTATTGGAATTCATCTGGGCCTTAGTTTACAACTCTTGAGAACAAAATTGATGTGTATGGAAAATTAATGCAGCATGTGTTTGATCCAAAAGAGAAAAATAGTTGCAAAGTAATGTACTTGCTCATGATCTTCAAGGTATATTGTGAATCACAGCTGCTGAAAGCCAGCAGAACTTGCATTAATTACTTGGGTTTGTTCCTTTTTTTTTCCAGTTTCAAACTTTCTTTCCCTAGAATATGCTAATATTAAACAGTGCTTATGAGTGATTGTGGAAAGAGGTTCCAAATAAAATCTGTCCTTTCTGAATTCTCACTGCCTGCTATTTTATTTGTTGTGAGTTTCAATTTTGGAACAGCTCTTTTTTAGAGCTTTTATTGCAGCATTAGAAGCAGCCTTTTTTAGACATAAGATGTAGAAAGTTAGCAATGCAAATATGGATTATTCACCTTCCTAGAGAAACTTCATCTTACTGAAAAGCTCTTCCTAACCTTTGTTTTTATCAGGGAGAAAGAACAAGAAACACAAGAAGAGGAACATTTGATGGAAGAAAAGAAAAAGAAAAAGCAGGAAGAAAAGAAAAAGAAGGAAGGTGCTCAGAAAAAGGTTTGTTCATGTTCCTGTTGGAACTGATCCCTTCACTTTTAAATGTGGCTCTGGCTACTGGTGCTGCAGCTTCACTTGTGGGAGTTTAAATTTGAAATAAGAATTGATGGCTGTCTTTTCTAGTATAAAAATCAGGCATCATAAAAAATTCCAGACAGATTCTAAAATAAGCAGGTCTTCTGTGAAAGGTGGTAGTGTGGGTGGGTTCAGAGGGATGCTGGACCAAGTGACAGAAGTGAATTCTGCTGGGGGCTCAAGGTCCAGGAAGCCTCTGCCCCCCAGAGAGGGAAGGCTGGGTGGTGGATGGGGCTGCTGCCCTCTCCAGTCACTCTTTACCCTTCCTCTTTGGCATCTCCTTCTGGCTTCAGGCAGACATTTCTGTCACATGGAGTTAAACTAAAATTCTCTAGTCCTTAAATGAATCAAATGCCTGATTTATGTGAGCAGTTTCTGCAAAAAGTTAGGCCTGCAGCCCTATAATTATTAGGTATCATTTGCAGTATTGACAAGTAGTTGATTTGTTTTGTTCTTCTCTTCTTTCAGGCTGCTGAACAAAAAACCAAAGGTAAATTCATGTTTATTCTCTGTGAAATGTTTGATATTTTTATAAGCTTGTTTGAAAAATGTGCTTGTACTTTTTATTCATTGTGTCTGTTTAATGAGGGGAGTTTATCTTACTAGGATTGTTATGTTCCTAAAGTTTTGTTGGGATTCTCAGCATAAGCTTTGGCTTATCTTGCTGGGTGTATTCTATGGCAGCCTTTTGACAAGAATATATGGATTAATTTTCTGTGAACCATAACACAGCATGTGTCATCTCTTTTGTCAAGACAGATGCAGTTTTCCATTTAGTTGTTAGTAGTTATTTATCTGTTTCAAAGACAAGTAATTGCCCCTTTCCCCTTGCACAATTCAACTCAATTTAATGTGTAAACTCAATTCATGGAGCTTAGAAGAAACTATTTCCCCTGCTGCCACCACTGCCTGTTTTTCTTTCTGTATGGCTTTCCTGCCTGGGAACTGAGTGGAGCTGCTTTGCAGCAGGGTCAGGAAGCAGCAGAGGTAAGAAATGCCTTCCCTTTTGGGGGCACTGGGCTGCCAGGTTCCCTGGGAGAAAAGTTAATGAAGCTGTGCCTTTCAGAAAGGTGAGGAAAAGAGGCAAGGTAATGTCTTTCTTCTGCATCTGATGGCTTACAGATCTTTTTGTGTCTCAGTTCTGGCCAGCTCAAATGCATTGTCATTTCTTGGTGGGTAATTAGGTGACAGACAGGCATAAATATATAAAATACTCAGGCAAGTGGAGCTTCTCAGAGTCCCAAAGAAGGAGAATTAGAGAAGAGCCAAGCTTAACATAAGGGCTGGACTAAACAACTTATGTTTCAAACACTTATGATTTATACAGCAGAAATTGAATATTACTTTAGTAATATAAGTAAAGTAATAACTGCATGATGAAGATACTGTACCAGTAATTTATTGAAACTCTGTCCTTTTATTTCTAAGTTTTTCCTGTGTAGAAAGGGAGAGGTCAGAAAGTTTTAGTTTGAATTCTGTAGCATCTGCACTGTGAGATCTCATGTAGTGTATAACACTGGATTTACTTTCAGGAGAAGGGAGCAGAGGTATGTGAGTCCCACCAAAACTTAAGTACATGAAAAACCTTGGAATTAAGATACATAAGAGCAATTTCTATCTAAATGAAATATTTCTGTTTTCACAGCATTGCTTGTTTTGTTCTCTGTATCAGCTCATTTCTGTGTGAAAAGGTTTCACTGTTCTATAATGGATTATAATGACTTTTTAATATCACAATTCAGCAGCAGATGTTTTTGCTGTCAGGGTAACTAAATTCATTTTCACGTGGTAATGCAGTGGCTCTTCATTTCTGTTACGAGTGAGACACAGAACCTTCTGCTTTCCCTCTGTGGGATGTTTCTATTTCTGTCTGTGTTGTGACAGCTTTGCTTTTAATTGCTTGAAACTGCCACGTTTGAGTTTCTAATTAATAACCTCAGTTTTTCAGGTATGCTTGAGTTTGTTTCTTTCAAATTCAGGGACTGCATTTCTCCATCTGTTGGTGCATTACAGATAAATACATTATCCATGTATTTAAGCATCTTCTATTGCTATAAAAGATGGATCAGGAAGAAGACAGCAGTGGATAAGGATAGTTATGTTAGAGATTAAGCAGATTTGGCATTTATTGTTTCATCTCAAATGCAGTGATGCAGCTTTTTGTGGTTCAGCATCACTGAAAGGGGGCACCTGTCCTACAGAGAGACCAAACCTCCTGTTCATGCTCAGGACAAGGGCCAGGGGTTATTTACAGTCCTGTAAATGACCCTTCTTTGAATTTCATTTGTCTGGCAAATGCTTGTTGCTTTTCAGGTTGCTCTGTTTTATAATAAAATAAAAATATTTTATTTCCTCTTTATAGTGCAGTTCCTTACATTTATCTTTAGGAGGGATGTGCAAGAGCTTATGAGGGGTAGCAGGAATTTATCAAAATAGATAAAATATTAATACAAAAATTAATGAGAGGAAAAATCTGACTGAGCTTTTTTCCTACAATATTCAGAGTTGACTGTAAACTTTATTGCAATGCTGCACCAAGTGCTTTATTTGGATACATTTTCAAGGATAAGTGACACATGCTACTAGAACTAAAAGGCAACACAGGGATTATCATTGAATTTAGTTAATTTATTTCCTATCTGGGACAGAGCAATTAAATTAGTTTTGATGACAGCATGGCACAGCAAAACTCAGTGAGTGGACTGCAGCAGGTAATGCATGCCAGTGAGCTGGATGTATTAAATCAGAGATTAAAGCTGGACATTTTGCAAAATGTAGATTTTGGTAGGTGAGATCTTAATAAATATGGCTTAATGGAGCTCTTTGTGGTAACTTAAAAAAAATGCTTAATTTTATGTGTGTGTCACTGAGTTCTGCAAGTGGGTTGCCATGGCAGTGAGAGGTGCTTGCACTAGTTGGGTCCTAGTGGAGAAAAAGAAATCATACAAGTGCAGGTGGGATGTGGCAGGGTTTTTCAGTTTGTTTTTCAGCTGGCTGGGGCAGGGTGTTTGTGCAGTCCCTGTTTGCTCTCAGCAGTGTTTGTGAGGAGAAGGCACTTTGCTGAAGTGGGTAGGAAGGGCCAGGTGCTGAGGCTTGAGAGGGAGGGAGGGGCTGGCTTCTTCTGTGCTAGAAACCTGTGACCAAGGTCCAATTCTTTTCAATTAATGGTTAGTTTTTCATGGATCTTTGTGTCACAGAGGGGTGGAGTTGCTGTCCTGGCCAGTAATGAACTCGTGTGGTTTGTTCGTGTAGCTCTGAGCTGATCTGGGCTGCTGCAGGTTCAGTCTCTGCTGAGGCCTCAGGAAAGAGAAGGGAAGAAAGAGGAAGGAGGTTTCCTGTGGGGGTGTGTTTGTGGTGTGCTGTCAGCTCAGCCTTGCTCTGAGGCCTCAGCCCCAGCTGAATGTTTCCATTTGTGATGTGGAGCACAAACCCTTCCAAAATAAACACCTATTTCCACCCTTAGGGGAAAGGTATGTGCTGCTGCTGGAGCCAGGCTAGGAGTGCTCCCTCACATCCACTGAACCAAATTCTTTTCTCTTTTTTAACAATGATCCAACCCCTTAAATCTTCTCTACATAACAGCTCCTTCAGTTTCTATTTTTTCCCTGCAACGTTGTTTGCCTGAGTATTTTTGTGAGGCTGGATCTTTTATAAATACCCCGTTGGCAACAATTCTAGGGAATGTGAAAAGAAGAGAGATTGGAGAGCTGATAAAGACCTGAAATGTTTCTCAATTACTTGAAAACAAATTAAAGTAGTCTTCCTGTTCAGCTGGAGAGAAGCACTGCAGAATTAGATGAGGTGGGAAATGAGCAGGTTTTTATTGCAAATTCAAGTTGTTGTTCTTTTATGGTAATTTTTTTCAGAACAGGACTATTGAGCACAGGCTATTAGTGTTTATTTTACATGTATAAACTCTTGCCAGTTTATGTGCACTTGATCAAGAAGCTTTGTGTATAAAGGCTTTTCTAATGAAAACATTCAGCTGTAATTGTGAGCTCTGCTCTGTGTGGTAAAGGGTCACTGTATGGGAATGGCTGTTATTTAATAACAACAGGGGCTGTCAGGGAGCTGTGCTTGTCACAAATGCTAGCAGGGTGGGTTTTGCTGCCTGCTTCTCTTCTGGCCATCCTCCTGCAGGTTTAGTCAGCACAGGTGATCAGCTCCCACCTCAGCTGAATGCATTTCTTTAAAGCTGATATAAAATAACTTAAGTGGTTTGTTACTCAAACATCCACCCTGGTAATTGAAAGGCAAAGTATCCATCCCACCCTCCAGCATTATATGCAATAAAGGTAAGTGCTAAATCTGCAAACAGAGAAGTAAAAACAGTTAAGTCTGTGTACTGCAGTTAGTGTAATGTAAAAAGTATTTTGGTAAATATTTTGGTTAGAATTGTTAACTGGAAAATATTTTTATCCCTTTACTGTAAAGCAGAGCTGGTCAATCTGTGCCTCTTGGACCTCCATGATCCCTGTAGGTCTGTCTGGCATGTTCATGGCATGGGAGCAGGCAGGGAGAGGTGGGCTTTCCAAGGGAAAATGGGAATTTCAGCTGCTGCTGGGGACTGATGGAGCAGGATTGCAGGAGCTGGAGTGGCCCTGGGACTCAGAGCCTGTCCAGCACTGCTGTCCCCTGTCCCAGAGGTGCAGTGGCTCCTGAGCTGAGCATCATTCCCTTCAGCTGTGCTCTGCTGAGGAGCTGTCCCCTCCCCCAGGCTGTCTGGGCTGTGTGCCTTGGGACTCCTCAGTGTGTGATGATTTTAATATGCAGCTTGCAGAGTCAGGGAGGTTGTCTGCAGCCTGGGAGATTACTCTGCCAACGTTTATGCTTTCATACATTTTATTTTGGGGGACTGAACAGAAAACATGTAGCAGTGTGTGGTTGCTGGGTAAACCATTGTGGTGTCACAAATGTTGGCATAGTTCTTTCAGGTTATCTGTTACCCCACAGGCAGAGCTGGATATTTTACCTGGAGGAACATGGTCTGCTCTATTAGAAAAGGGAGTTAAAAGGCAAAAAATAAATGGATGAAAATATCTGAGACTCCATCCCCTGCTCTGGCATTTCTGTTGGGATGACAGGAGTTGCAGCATACCTGTTTCCAAAGCTGGGTTATTTTTATTTCCAAATCAGCCATGTAGATTATTGCATATTTTTAAATTGATTCTTTACTTACCCTGCCCAAATGGGCTGCTAGAATTTTCTCTGCTTATGCTCATGTGTGTGTGAATCACCTTCCTGTAACCTCCATTCTGCTCATACAGAAATGAAGTTTGTGTACATTGATAATGTGCTCCTTCTGGCTGTGGTAGATGTTACTGATGTTTAGTGGTAGTTCCATAGGAAAGAAGGGAAAATGAAACTTTTTGGAGAATCTCATCAGGATTTTAAGTAGAATTCTGACAGAGTGTAACACAATCAGTCTTTTCTCAAAAGAAAAGTCTTGAGTTTTTCTAGTTCGTGTCATATTATTGTAGGAACCAGCAA